GATTAGTGTTCTAACTGTGTTTTAACTTATAGAGTACATAATAATGTTAAGAAAGCATTAAGAACAGCTAACCAAGGTTGCGTGCACTCTCATCCTGACACCTCGTTAATAGTTACAGAATACAGGTTAGCCTCATCAATCCGAGGGTAAATAAAGATTATGTGTGTATGTTATGTACTGATTTAACTTATTTAGACATGGTTTATTTTGCTGTTGGTTAAAAGTCGTGTGTCGTGAGTGTGGATAAAACGACACACGACTTTACCCACGACTTTACCCACACTCACGACACACGACTTTTAACCCACGACACACGACATATAGGGACTCCTCTCCTCTTGAATCAAGAGGCTTTTGGCTTTAATAGTTTGGCGAAATGCCGCGAACACAGGTAACATCACAGCATCGCGATTAAAAATGCTAGAAGCGCGACCAGGATAAATACATATTCATTTCGAGACGTTCTCCCATCTTACAAACAGATATTGTTCTGGTAAATGTTTACAATCATTGTCAGAATCTAAGGTGTTGCCGTATTCCAGGATTCTAGTGTTGCTCTGTGTCGGCAGTTTGCCTTGCCTTGTCAATTATCTTTTTTTTGTCAATTATTTTGCCTTATTCAAAGTCGCTTTGGTAATCGTCGGTCACGCATGTTTGAACACGTTTTGCACTGCTAAGCTGTGTGTGACAACAGGATATTAAAGAGATTAAGAGTAAGACAACAGGTAAATACAATTTGGTTCTGTCGCAATTTATATTTGGCTTTTCGGCGGCGCCATGACGCACATACAAAACAGTTTATTCGTATTAAATGCGGCATTGTGACGTAGTTATAGTATTCGCAGAAAGCCAATTATATAACGACACATCACCAGAGTATTGTTTTTCATTACGAGCAGCAACGAGACAATGTCTTTACAATCTGTCGTTCTAACAACGACATCAAAAACATATCAAACGTTTTCTTCAGTTCGCTTCGAAGAGAAATGGCGAGAAGTTCCTTTGGTGGCTATGAAGAGGAGAGATTCAAAGACAAAGTAGACATTAAACTACAGTGCTCGATTTGTCTCAAGGTCTTAAAAGATCCAGGACAATGCCCGAATGAGCATTATTTCTGCGGCTCGTGTATTCGAAAGAATCTGCGCGAAAACTCCGAAACTTGCTCGATGTGTCAACACCATCTGATGGAAGAATCTTTGACCAAACCACCAAGAATTTTGACGGATTTCATGCAGAGTTTCATGATTCGTTGTGATCACGAAAACCGTGGCTGCCCAGAGGTCGTCAAGCTTAAATTTCTTGAGCGACATGTCAACAGCTGTGGTTATTCACCAACGCGTTGTACAAACGCTGGTTGTGCAGAAGCGATGAACCGACACGAGAAAGAACGACACGAACGTGAACAGTGTCAGTTTCGTAAGATCGCTTGCGACGAGTGTGGAGAACAAGTAATATGGAAGTCAAGTCGTGTACACCCGTGCTTCATGCGAAAACATATGGACAATTTAGAGAGAAGATTGAACATTGTTCAGAATAATGTCAGGGAAGTCAACGATGAAGTAAAGCAAGTGAAGCTGACTCAAAATGAAATGGAATATCTCGCAAAAGAAGCGATCGAAAGATGCGATTTATTTACCGGCAGACAAAAGATTTTCGTTTGTGGAGGGCGTAATGAGAATCGCCTTAATTCCGTAGAGTCATACAGCTGGCCAGAGAATTCCTGGACATTGGAACCAGCAATGAAGCAGGTACGATTAACTTCTTCAGCATTTGTCCATGGTCGTGAAATTTATGTCAGTGGCGGATGGAACATCCTCGTTCCCAGGGCTTCTCGGCTGCCTGCGTTGCCAAGAAGCCCTGGGAACGAGAATGCGGATGGAATGGAACCAATCACACTGACAGTATTGAAAGTTTGAATGTTGGAGGAATCGGAAGAATGGGGCGGCGGTCTCGGGTCCACAAAACACACTGTTTCCCTCGGTCTCAGTAAATAAGTGATAATTATTGTGGCCTTATGTATGTACTTTTATAGTAATTGAAGCCCAGATCAACGAAAACGAGAGTTGAAGAGAGTTGGCAGTCACACATTGTTACAGGGGACATTTCAAGCTCTAGATTAACAAAACAAAGGTTTGATGAGTGTTCTAACTATGTTTTAACTTCAATAGAATACATGATAGTGTTCAGTACTAAGAAAGCACTACCAACCAAGATCGCGTGACTGGCAACTCTCCAGCACTCTCATCCTGACAGCTCGACACCTTAGCATGTATTGCTATAGATGCTTAATTGATAGTTACAGGTTAGCCTCATCAATCCGAGGGAAATAAAGATTATGTGTGTATGTTAGGTACTGATTTAACTTATTTAGACATGGTTTATTTTGCTACAAAATCATTCAGAAAACAATATATATCTCCTCTCGACTCAAGAGGCTTCACTTCCTTTGCAGGCGTCTCCTTGACTGTGGTTTTTGGTTTGGCGAAATGCCCTGAACATAGTCGTAGGTAACATAACAGTATCTCGATTAAAAATTTCAGAAGCGTGATCAGGATTATATACAACCAGTTGGAGACGCTCTCTGATGGTAAATGTTTACAATTATTGTCAGAATTTAAGTTGATTCCCGTATTCTAGGATTCTAGTGTTGCTCAGCGTCGGCATTTTGCCTTGCCTTGTCAATTATCTTTTTTTGTCAATTATCTTGCCTTATTCAAAGTTGGTTTGGTAGTCGTCGGTCAAGCATGTTTAGCCATGTTTGAACCAGTTTTGCACTGCTCAGCTGTGTGTGACAACAGGATATTAAAGAGATTAAGAGTAAGACAACTGGTAAATACAATTTGATTCTGTTGCAATTTATATTTGGCTTTTCGGGCGGCGCAATGACGCAAATACAAAACAGTTCATTCGTAATGCGGTATTATGACGTAGTTATAGTATTGGTAGAAAGCCAATGATATAACGACACATCACCAGAGTATTGTTTTTCATTACGAGCAGCAACGAGACAAGGTCTTTACAATCTGTCTTTCTCACAACGATATCAAAACATACCAAACGTTTTTCTCAGTTCCCTTCGAAGAGAAATGGCGAGGAGAGATTCCTTTGGTGGCTATGAAGAGGAGAGATTCAAAGAAAAAGTAGACATTAAACTACAGTGCTCGATTTGTCTCAAGGTCTTAAAAGATCCAGTACAATCATACAATGCCCGAATGAGCATTACTTCTGCGGCTCGTGTATTCGAAAGAATCTGCGCGAAAACGCCGAAACTTGCCCGATGTGTCAACACCCTCTGACGGACGAATCTTTGACCAAACCACCGAGAATTTTGACGGACTTCTTGCAGAGTCTCATGATTGGTTGTGATCACGAAAACCGTGGCTGCCCAGAGGTCGTCAAGCTCGAATTTCTTGAGCGACATGTCAACAGCTGTGGTTATTCACCAACGCGTTGTACAAACGCTGGTTGTGCAGAAGCGATGAACCGACACGAGAAAGAACGACACGAACGTGAACAATGTCAGTTTCGTAAGATCGCTTGCGACGAGTGTGGAGAACAAGTAATATGGAAGTCAAGTCGTGTACACCCGTGCTTCATGCGAAAACATATGGACAATTTAGAGAGAAGATTGAACATTGTTCAGAATAATGTCAGGGAAGTCAACGATGAAGTAAAGCAAGTGAAGCTGACTCAAAATGAAATGGAATATCTCGCAAAAGAAGCGATCGAAAGATGCGATTTATTTACCGGCAGACAAAAGATTTTCGTTTGTGGAGGGCGTAATGAGAATCGCCTTAATTCCGTAGAGTCATACAGCTGGCCAGAGAATTCCTGGACATTGGAACCAGCAATGAAGCAGGTACGATCATCTGCTTCAGCATTTGTCCATGGTTGTGAAATATATGTCAGTGGCGGATGGAATGGATCAAGGCCACTGACAGCATCGAAAGTTTGAATGTTGACGAGAAACAGGTAGAATGGGAAGAGCCTCCTGTTAAGTTGCCATTGAAGTGTGATTCACACAAAATGGTTTGTCACGAGAATAGTGCGATTTTAACTGGTGGACTTACTGCTGGTGATTATGTTTCAGATGGGATTTATGAAATCAGTCTAGATCCTCCACATAACTCAAAACTATTGACCCAGATGCCAGAACCAAGATGTTTCCATGGTTGTGAGATCGTGGACAACCAGGTGATGGTGGCTGGAGGACAGACATCAAACTGCCACAGAGACGCTAAAAACACTGTGTACGCATATGACATTAAGAATAATGAATGCAAAACCTTACCACCACTGCCATTTGCTATTTCTGATATGGCTACTGTCAGTTATAAAGGTCATGTAATTTTGATCGGAGGTGTTAATGAGAAAGCTCAAACATTAAACAGTGTAGTAATGTATGATGTAAAAACAGGAGACATTAAAATGTTACCTTGCCTTAATCATAAAAGAGCAGGAAGTGCAGCAGTTATCACTGGCAATGTTATCATTGTTGTGGGCGGATATGATTATGGAACTGAAAGATTTCTCAATGCTGTCGAGTATTTAGATTTAAGTACCAATGTATGGTGAGAACTGTCGCCAATGACAACCAAACGAGGCTTTGCAACTGCAGTTTTAAAACCAATCCGTTAGAATGTAATCACTCGAACTGTTGTGACAAAACTTTGACAATTTATAATAAACAATTTAAACAGCAATCTTTTTAAGCTAAAAATTGATATTAATTCGGAAAATTCATAATTATGGCACAATTAATATGTTGATGGTGATGTAGATAAGAATGTGATTAATTCATACATTACAATTATACGTAGCTTACTTGTATTTAAATTCGCGCTGTATTAGATTTCGCGCAGACCACGAGTGCGTGAAATTGAAACTGAGCGAATTTGAGAGTGAGGAAAAATTTACACGAATTCAAATACAAGTAAGGTGTGTTAATATGTTAATACAGATGAAAATTTGTACAACTTATATATCACATAAAATACGTAATAGTAAATTAGTATATGTTAAAGTAGCTAGATTCAATACAACTTATAGCGTATTAAAAATTACAGACTGACGTCTGATTTTAATGTGTTCTATTTTATCTCGAAACAAAGTTACAATGAACAGAAAATCTGTAAAAGTTTTTTCAATTCCACTGAGAAATTTTTGAAATAAAAAACTTTGTATATAGCAAAAACAATCTTCATTTTCGCCGTATCCCTCCATTATAAGACACGAAGCAAGAAATTCTCGTCTTTTGTGTCTTGTAATGGAGGGAAAGCAAAAATTAGGACAAAATTTTGCAGGCAATAACTAGACCGAATCGAAAAACGGTTGTCAAACTTTTTTCCCCTAAATTAATTTCAACCAAGATAATCGCTGTCGCTTTATAGAATTCTTCAAGATTATCAGTTTTGCAAAGTATAAATATAATACCATGCATTTTATTTTATTTTTATTTTACAAGTTTGCCATTGCAATAGATCTATATAGAGTACTATGGTTACAAATGACTGGAATTTCCACACAGAGATAGTTCTCCAATAACGGGGTTCCAAAAAAGAAAAATTATGGTATATCTAATTATTTTTAAGTTAAAGCAAACATAACAATAGACACTTCCCGAATTTGCTTGAGTGCACACGAAACAATAGCTTGGAATCGAGGCGGACAATGTAATCCATTGGAAATAAGTATAGTTTTCCAATGGATTACATTGTCCGCTTCGATTCCAAGCTATTGTTTCGTGTGCACTCAAGCAAATTCGGGAAGTGTCTATTAAACACAAATACAAGAAGACAAGGCAAACGTTTGACGAACAAACGATAAAAAAATGTACTCTCTTTCAGAAATTAAATCTGATAAACACCAGACTTTGTGCTCGATTTAGCAAAGAAGACTGACTAGCCTCGTTTGGGTGCTTGTTCCGCATTTCAAAGGCCGCTATAATTTCACTTGCATGTATTGTGTAAAATCTTAAACTCTTACACTTTGCTTTTAAATAACAGTTTCGTAAAAACAGTCAATTTGCACTACGCCGCGACTTATTTAGGCCTAGCTTTCAACCCTGGGCTTATTTCGTTATTTTAGCCGCGGCTTGGGGACGAATTGACTGTTTATACGAGACGTTCGCGATTTATTTAAGTCGCGGTTTATTTTCGCTCTTATAAATGGCCCTATTATAGCAGTATGTCAGTCTTTACTGAATCATTGAGAAATATAGCAGGTCGTATGGTGTATAATATAAATGATAATTGATACGACAGATGAAACACCACTAAAGTATAAACCTTGAGTGCTTGTTCCTCTTCGAAAACTTTATACTGCTTTAGTATTAGACAAGGTGTCCATCATTTAATGAAGGTGAAATTCGAGGACTTTTCCAGGACTTTCAAGGCCCTTTTTCAGTAAATTCGAGGACCTAGAACTGGGAAAAACCTTTGAAAATGGCAAGGATTTGCCGTAAATAATTCATTTTATTCAGGTGTTATTATGCACAAGAACATAAATTGGTTGGAATGTATTGATTATCTGAATGTAAACGTTTGTCAACGGTTAGGAGTTCTGCGACGAGTCAAACATTTACTTCCTCGTGATGCAAGAATAACTTTATACAACAGTTTAATTTTACCGTTGTTTGATTATGCCGACGTGGTACGTATGGGGTGACAAAAATAATGCTGTTTTGATGAATCAACTTCAAATACTACAAAACAATGCAACCCGTACTATACTCGATTTGCCAAAGTACGCATCAGCAACTCATGCTTTTGATCAGTTGTCATGGAAACCCTTAATTTTTCGCCGTAGTTTTCACCGTCGTGTTGCGATGTATAAATGTTTAAATGCATTTGGTTAATGTCGACCATGACTTCAGAAAGAATGCCGAACACGGTTATAACACGCGAGGTTCTGAGAATATTCATTCGAGCCCCAAAAGCAAAAACAAACTGGGGGGAAGCAAAGATTCGTTGTTCAAGCAGTAAAGGATTGGAATAGTATACCAGAACATATCAGACAGGCTAGGACACTGATAAATTTAAAAAACGGCGTTTTAGCGCAGAATATTTAAACTTTTAGTACGTGCATGACAAATCTTTTTTATTCATTGTGGGCTGACCTATATTCTGCTTATACATTCTATAATTTTTAACATATATGCATTGACTTTACTTTTAACTTTTAACTTTTATATCTATTTCGTGTATTATAATAGTTCTATCAGGGCCCTACTGAAAATCGCTTTGCGAGTTAGGCTCCCTGTTAAAATATTATGATAAAAATATTATACGTAATTTTAATCAAACTCACTAATGTTGGCACAGCTGGAAGTTAAGGAAATTAATTCCAGGACTTTCAGTTTCAAGGACTTCTACTGATTTTCAAGGACTTTCCAGTCCTGGAATTTTTTTTCCAATTCAAGGACTTTAAGGATTTACAAGACCCATGGTGTTCAATGTGGATTAGTGGTTTTCAATTTGGTGAAATATAAACTTTATGTATACTGTGTCTGTTGAAAAGTAAATGTAGAATTAACCGACATCAACAAAGCCAAAATAAATGTTATCGAACTTAGCTACAGGTCAGGAGGTCTCTTTTTTTAACTGGCTCGTCAATCTTCGGCGTTTTAATTGTCTATATCTGAACGTGCTGGCGTGCATGCCTTATTTATCTGACCGTCGCATTCAAAACATGATGATTCTTGTATTTTAAGTTTATGAATAATTTTGCACCAGAATATCTCAGAAATGTGTTTACAGTGAGGAATGGTGTTACAAACCTTAGAGAAGTTCAAAAAAGGCCAAGTCAAGAGTTATACTACCAGTACTACTACTATTTGGAATTTTAATATCGCCTGATAACTTCACTTGTACGTAATGTAAGACCAACCAGTTTCAACCAATCAGCTAATTGGCTTTACTCTGGCTTTAACTAATTCTGTTTTATTTTTTTGGTTTCGTAAATTTGTGATATTGTAACCATAATCGGTAGTTATATATGTACTTTAGTAATTTAGTTTATATCATAGCTCGGCACCTTGGCATGTATTGCCTCATCAATTATCCGAGGGTAAATATGTACGTAGACTATTATGTATCATGTATGCACTGATTTAGACATGGTTTGGCACAGAATCATTAGTCATTCGAAACACAATCTCTCCTCTCTCAAGAGGCTTTATCTCTTTTACAGACGTTATAATGGGCCTGGTTGTGTCGTTGTAAGCAATGTTTTCGTCTTTCACATTTCGACACACTGACTGAGTAAAATAGTAATTTAGTTTGGCGCAATGCCGCCAACATGTATAACATAACACCACCGCGATTAAGAATGCTAGAAGCGCGACCAAGATTATATATAATCATTTGGAGACGTTCTCCAATCTTACAAACAGATATTTTTCTGGTAAATGTTTACACAATTATTGCCAGAATATGAGGTGATTGCATGTTGCCATATTCCAGGATTCTAGTGTTGCTCTGTGTCCGCAGTTGGCCCTGCATTGGCGATTATCTTTTTTTTTGCAATTGTCAATCATCTTGCCTTATTCAAAGTCGGTTTGGATGTTTGAACCAGATTTGCACTGCATGTGCAGCTGTGCGTGACAGATGCTTTGCTGTGGTGTGACAGATTAAGAGAAAGACATTTGATAATATGTCGCAATTTATATTTGGCCTTTCGGCGACGCAATGACGCAGTTTATTAGTCGGTGGGGCCACCTGTGGTGCCCACCGACTCTAGGTTTCGGCACGCATTTTTTTTCGCGGATCGCAGATCGCAAATCTCCATTGTACACAAATTTCCATTATGACACGTCACGATTTTAAGGAAATTTGAGTATATTGAAG